GCAGACTGGATAATCCGACAGACAGCGGGCCAGGCGGTGAGGAAATAGGCATAAACTGGACTCACACAAAAAACTTGGAGGATCCGGACTTCGCCGATGATATATGTCTGATTTCCCACAAACTGGAAGATATGCAAGTGAAAAGCAATAAGTTGGCAGAAGAAGCATCAAAGATAGACCTTCCTTCAGGTGAACATAGAGAAAATAGAGGTGATGAAGATTCCTGGCCAACACCACCAACAGCAACAACAACAAACAACGATCAGCATAAATGGGAGGAACCTGAAAGAAACAACCTCCTTTACCTACCTGGGAAGCATCGTTTCAACGACAGGCAGAACTGTGTGGAGGTCAGCAGCACTCAGCATCAAAAATAAGATCCGGATTTTCAACTCCAATGTGAAGTCAGTCAGTGCTACTATACGGATCAGAGACTTGCATTGCGCGTCATAAAGAGCATCTCAAACTACAAACCTTCATCAACAGCTGTCTTCGCTCAATACTTCACTCAAGATCAGATGGCTGGCCAGAAAAGATCACCAACAGCGATCTCTGGGAGTGAACCAACCAGGAGCCGATTGTGCAACAAATCTGCAGGGAGAAATGGAGGTGGATTGGCCATACTCTAAGGAAGCCATCAAACGATATCACTAGACTAGCCCTCGAGTGGAACCCGAAGGCGAAGCGGCGAGTTGGTCGTCAGTGCGAGGGTGACTTGGAGGAGGTCATGTGGACAGACTTGGAGCCAGGTGAAAACTTTAGCAGAGAAGCGAACGCAATGGAGACGTGCAGCTGAAGCCCTATGTTCCTCTTGGAATTAAAGGAAATAATAATAAGAGCTCAGGATACTGTTCTCCTCCTATACTACTTCGGCTTTTCGAATACATTAAGTATGCTGATAGTAAACAATATTAGTAATAATTGAATATATGGGGTTAATTTAAATCTAAAAAACATTTTTAAATATGCTGAAGATAAATAATGATTAATTAATCGGAAAAAATTACAGTATTTCTTAATTTATAATTACATTAAAAATGAAATATTATTTATTTTGAAAAGCAATTTGTGTTTTTAACCTGGTATAGTATGAAGCGCACAGCACACATGTTGTTATTTGTTAGTCATTCAATGACTTGTAGAGATGATGCAAATAATTATATGCAGATAAAAGGAATCATTGTTAGTCATTTCAAATGCAAATATGTAGGTAGATAGATAGACAGACAGACGATCGATAGATTAACCAGGCGAACTGCCGTACACATAGATAGATACGTAGATGATAGACAGACAGACAGACGCATAGATCCGTATGGAGTTAGTTTTTTTTCACAAATTAGTGGTGGTGGTAGCTTGCCAATCCAGAATAATCACACAATAGAAGTCAGTGCAGGAGAAGAGACAAGGTAGTTATGAGATCAGCGACAGAGAAAAATATACCGTCTGACTAATCTCTTTGTTTAGAATATCAAATACATCAACCTTATTCAACAGCTGTACGACAATAGCACATGTCAAGCGATCCACAACGGAAAACTCAGCGAGGCGTTTGGAGTAAACACAGGAGTCAGACAAGGGTGCTTATTATCACCAATGATATTCCTAATTTTGGTGGGCTGGATTATGCGTCAGACAGTGGGAAACGAGAAGACAGGGAAATCCTGAACCGACGTGAAGAACCTAGAAGACCTGGATTTCCCGCGTGGATGATTTATGTTTGATGTCACACAAAATCGAAGAATTACAAGCGAAAACCGACAAACTGGTCGAAGAAGCAGCAAAGACAGGACTCCAGGTGAATATAGACAAGACGGAGGTTATGAAAATAACCAACCAACAACAACAACAACATCCAGCGCCAATCACCATCAACGGGAGGGATTTGAAAGAGGTTACTTCATTCACTTATCAAGGGAGCATTGTCTCAACTACAGGAGGAACGGACGAGAATGTCAAATCGAGAATCGGGAAGGCGAGAAACACATTCATCAACCTGAAACCAATCTGGAAATCTTCGTCACCCAACTCAGCATCAACAACAAAATTCGGATTTTCAATACAAACGTCAAGTCAGTGAGTTCTTCTATACGGATCAGAAACTTGGCCAGTGTGTCACAAAGGATATTTCCAACAGCCTGTTGCAGACCTTTATCAACAACTGTCAGTCCTGTATGTGGGCAACAGTAAAGAATAGGCACGAAAGCCGAATGACCTTGAACCATCCAATCAGATTCGTCCAGCTAAGAAGTGGCATTTATTGTATAAAAAAGTGTATTTGTAAGATATATATGTAATAAAAATCAATTATACAGGGTATATATCTCTATTATGCTGCAGAAATCGATCCCAGCTTCTCATAGGAGTGTCTATAGACACATCGGGAACTGTTTACCATCTTTATACGTTTGTTTTTAGATGGGCCCAGAACCCTTCAATAGAATTCACTAATTCAGAAGAATGATTCACTTTATGGTGAATATAGCTTAATGATGATAGTTGCGAATAACCTCTCCACTCGTCTATGTGAATGTTAATGCCTAGGAGGACTAGTCGTTGTATTAATGATATTAAAATATCTGCACTTCTTTTTTGGGACGCGTCCTACTAACCTTCTTCGAAGGTTGCATAACCATCAAAATATAATGGGAGTACTTCTGAAGAGCCATTATTCTTCCACATATTCATGTTTTAGTCTTTCCTATCAACTCATTTTCCATACAGAAGTCAAAAACCAAATCTTCTGAGTGAAACTTGCAACAGGGATTATGAACGGCATCTTTTAGTAATACCGAGCGATCTGATTGGTTGGTTGGTTGTTCAAGGTCATTTGACTGTATTATCTATTCTTTACTGTTGCCCTATATGTGTTTGATTGTCTCAACTAAGTCCTTTATATATACGCTAGCCCCATAAATATTTTCGTGAGATGGGTTCGCATCCTTGACATCACCGTAGCAAGTGTCGTGATGTGAAGAGCTTCTATCTTCAGTTTATCCTTAGTTATGTGTGATTAAACAAACTACAAATGATGTCAGTTAGCAAACCCCATGGTAACCATGGTAATACGTTTTACTTATGATTCTACCTATTATTATTATTATTATTATTATTATTATTATTATTATTATTATTATTATTATTATTACTATTACTATTATTATTCTCATTATTATTATTATTCTTGATTCATTTAAAACTATCCTTTATCAGTAGCATTATCTTAACTCACTTCAACATTATTATTATTGTTATTATTATTATAACTATTACTATTGGTATTACTCTGTTTGCAATTCTTGTTATATTCTCTAATGACTGATTGATTATCTAAGTGATGTAATTGAAGCGTAATGCAATTTATCTTAATTTTGATCTCTCATACTCTCTCTGCCCTTATCTAATTGAACATGACCTGGAAAAACATTCGCACCTGTCTTTCTGCATGACTAATTCAATGTAGTTTATTTACTTATCAGTCTTATATCTCCCAATGTAATTTCAAAAGTATATATATATATATATATCCGTGTATGTAGAGTATTCAGCAGCTGACGACTTCTACCGAGATTTGATGAATTTATTAAATCCTGCTTTATTAACCATTATTGCTTGTATAAAATATCTTGGCTTATTTTAATGTGGCTATAAATGAGTACCAATGTTTTGGTAATTGAGTTTTTGTCGTGACCAATGTAGGGTACAGAAAGTGGTCCGGCGTGAGGACAAATACTCGCCGAAGAAATTGACTAGCTTAGTGGTCACTCTGTGTCGTGAATTGACAGAAGTTGGAATTCATGGACTGGCCATTGATTGACTAGTCGGGTCCCAGTGGTTTAGTGGTCTACGAGCTCGTCTCTTTGCCAAAAGGTTCTAGTTTAGGACCCTAGAGGGTTGAAAACTAGGATGAAACATCCTCCCCGTACTCTCTGGTGGCTGTCCAATAGTTCCTGAACTAACGACATCAGCCCCTTGATCAATCCTTCCATGTTTAGATCACACTCCTTGATGCTGAGTCTATCAATCAATCAGTAAATCAATCGAACTCACTGAAAAATACATTCATTTCAACGTTTGCATGACTTTCTGAATTTCTATTATTTCCTTGGATTGCTCTATTGTCAAATTATTGTCTTTAGATTACAATAACATTTCTAAGCACTTTGTTGTACTATAGTTGTTGTATTTATGTGCATCAGTGGTGTTCACGGCGCCGGGTTCAGGGTGATCAAGAATGCTCTGACCCTGGGTGGAGGCTCACCATTGCACGTCGGTGGGTTGAAACTCGCGATGGACCCTAATCGGGTACGCTCGGGCGTGTAGTTTGTGTGTCGGTGGTATAGCGGTTAGGACGCTCGCCGACCATGCACATGGTCCGGAATGCGATTCCCGGCCGACGCACTCCTTTACCTCGCTAAGCCAGAAATAAAAGCTGGTTCAGAGGAAAGGTTGGGCATGAGGCTAGCAACCCCATCCCGTAAAAAATAAAAACACTGCTACAGAAACTTCAAGCCTCTAGCTTGAAGCCCTATGTTCCGCTGCGAACATGAAGGAATAAAAAAGTGGTGTTCACTGGAGAAAATGAATGCTCATCAGTTAAACGGGGAATCTTGAGTTCGATCCTCAGTCAACTCAGCTTTAAACCTCGTTTAGTGTACTATTTTGCTAGTAAACCGGGGGAAGAGGGTGGCCTTATGCTAAATAAGGCCAACAACCGCACTCCTTAATAATACAACACTACAACCAGTGAAACTCCACAGTTTGTAATAGCCCTATGTTCCTCTGGGAACTCAATGAATACAAAAAAATCGATGGCATATCATACATACCTACATCTCAATCCTTTGTTTCAGTTTGCTTAATTGATTGTTATTTGACAATGAATAAAACGATGGAATCGCTGATTTTCCTTCTTTTATTTTTCCTGAAGTCTCTTAGGCTTTATTCTCATGCATATTAATTAAATTAATCGGATTAATCATATTTGCTTTCCATTTCAGTGTATTCCCTAATAACAAGACGAAGATTTGCACGAATGGCTGTTTTAGAAGGTCAAAATATTCTAGTTACAATATCTGGACGTAAAAATCGTGTACGTGTATATTATTTGTCATGGCTACGAAGTAAAATTATGAAAACTGAAGGGGTAAGCAAATTCTTTGTCCTTTTTTGCCCAAATTTTTTCTTTTTGGCTTTTCATCCCGCAACACATTCTCATTCATCATTTCATTCCTTCGCGTTGCGAGTGGAACACAATTAGGGCTTGAAACTGCTTTGGGCTTTGAAGTTCCATTAGCGGTGATTTTGTTTTTACGGTATGGGGTTGTTGGCCTCACACCCAACTTTCCCTCTACGTCGGGTTTAGCACCGGGCTAGCTAAGGTTTTGGAGTTGGGAATCGAATCCCAGATGAAATGCGTAGGCGTTGGTGAGCATTCTGCCTTTGACCCCCCGCAATCCTTTGACATATACAATGTTTATATTGTAGGTGTATTCATGGAAAGTCTGTACATTCAATGCATTTCATTGACGTGGTCACTTTCCATCTTTATTACTGTAAGACAATTACTAATCTAGAAGATTATCCATTGCGATACACTCCGAAATGGTGTCATTACATGCCTACAAGCAGTCGTCAGCAGTCATTGAACCTAAATTTCATACTTATTAGCAGGCATTAGCATGCCGACCGCTTCACTTATTCTTAGAGTTCCATCAGTCCTAATGGGGTCATTTCTGACGAAATCTCGGGACGGATACAAATGGCTCATGTACCGTTTGCCAACATACAATCCGAATAAATCTGATGAAGAAGCTGTGGCTTACACAGTGAAACGTTCAGTAAAATCTTTTTTTGACTTTTGCTTGAACACGCTGGGATTAATTTAAATAATGTATGATGATACGTTGTCTCTGTTATACACGTGACATCTTGCTGCTGACCAAAGGATTTGTGTAGTGTGTAGCAGTTCGCGCTGTCCTTCTTAATGGTAGTGAAACTGTGACGTTTGGAAATAGAAGATTTGATGAGGCTAGCCGTTTTTGACGATAGTTGTTCTCATTAAGTGGTATAATATGGTGAGAAATATTGAAGTTAAACGTAGAGTTGATGAAGTGGTGCGGCTACACTTGGTTGAGATGGCTAGGGCATGTGTTACACATGCAGAATCACTGCGTTCCTTGACGACCGATGTTAGCTGATATCGGCTTAGTTTGGTGAAGAGTTAGCGGTGGTTCTGTGTAAACGTGGAGTCAGTCAAGGAAGTCTTTGACTTATTAGCTTGAACTACGTAGCGAGGTTCACACTTCTGATTGACCCTGTGGTCCTGCTTATATTGCTAAGCTTTCGTTGTTCTTCAAGACAACATCAATGCCTACGTCAATATGATGTAAGTTTATCGGCATTTTCTATGAATGATGTAAGTGTCTCTCCTGATCCCCTCAACTATGAGTGGCTATCTTCAGAAGTTTTCTTATCCATGTGTTTATCTGTATTGGTACTGATTGTTTCGATGTCCTGGTATCTAAAGTCTTTTGCCATATCTAAATCAACCGTTTCGCAACTTGAGCCCCCCTACGCCTATGAGCATCGGGTTTATGTCGAAGAGTAATGTAATTGATATTTTGTAATTTTAATCCTTTGAATATTTTTGTTTGCCTTTTCCAATTTAGTGTGATAAAAAGAACGGTTGGGTTAATGTTGGTGAAAATCTACAAGGAGCTGTACATTTCAAAATTGGTGAGTTGACTAACTTAATGGGATTATTTGAGGATTCATGATTTAATGTATCACCGTATCGCTGATAAATTTCGATATATACTTCACACTACTTAATATTTTGACAGTAACTTGTGGTGTTCCACTTAAATTTCTCTCTGGTACTTCTGTAGCTATTCAGACTCTTAGCCTTTCTTTTTATCATTCTGTTTGGGAGTTATTTTTTATGGAAAAGTTTCAAAGTGTGAACTGAATTAGCTCTCAGAGCTGAGCTGATGAAGTAGTTGGCGCTGAAGGAGAGAAACGGCTGTCCGGTGTTTACATCATATATGACTACTCATTCTATCAACCAATCAGTAGTATATGTACATATAGTTTTACTCTTTTATGCTTATTTTCGTGATTATCATTGCTGGTGGTATCAAGCAGATCGCATATTATAAATTGTAAATTGCGAAAGTTTAAATTTGTACGATAGTTCAATTTTCAAATGGTATTTTTTTAATGTTATATCGTAGGTTGTTGTTAATTTAACTTTTCCTTCTCTTTTCTCTTTTTTTCCTCAAAAAAATTAATACAGTGAAGTATGAAAAGATCAAATTCCTTGTCATTGCTCTGAGAGATTCTGTAGAGATCTATGCTTGGGCACCTCGTCCTTATCATAAATTTATGGCTTTTAAGGTGAGTTTACATGGTGTCGTTTTGGTATTCTCGCATTTTGTAGTGTTGTGTGTTTTTTACTAATCTTCTAATTCTCGACAAATGTCTATTCAGACATCAGGAGTTTCTTTTCGGTGAATTCATCCACTTAACTGTATGTACAATTGCCTATACATAATCCAAAGGGTTATTCAAACTGCGGATAGAGGAGGGATGCATAAAATCCAAAGCCACAAGATTTATCTTAAAATACTGTATTATATTAAACATAAAATAATGAATTTAGATAAAGCAATAAGAAGATGTAATTACTCTGAATCGTGCAATGGATTTGCACGACACTTTTCCAGCAGTCTGATGCCACACATACCCGTCATGGGAATTATATGTATGAAATTAATAGAGTTAAGAGGTGAGAAAATCAACTTAGGTCAATTTGAAAGGATATATTGAAGGTCAGAATAACAATGAAGATCACTAAACCAAATAACAGAGGTAATAGTAGATCCACACTGACTGGTATCAGAACAAAGTTTACCAAGGAAGGAGGGAAGGTTTAGTGTGATGATGAATTGTTGCTTTGAATGCATAAACTTCCTAACTCGATAGAGCTTCCATAAACTTTAGGATACGCCCCAAACACTTTTTATGGAAAGGTGTAAAAGATGTGTAAAAGTCAATTTTATGTTGTACCTTACTAAATTGCTTCTTCAGAAGAATCCAACGAATATGCATGGAAGACGCACTTGATGAAGAAGAAAGAATGTTGACACAAATTTTGGTTAATAATAATTATCCAGACAATTTCATCAAGAGCTATAAAGTAGTCAGAACACCAAGACCCACTCTGCAACTCGCCGCTAAGAAAGACTTGTACATCAAGCTACCCAATATGGGTTATCATAATAGCTTGATTACTAGACAAAGACTGAACGCTGCGGTTAAAGCAACTTTTTTGCAGCTAATATCATAATAAATGAGAATGTGAAGCTGATGTATCCATCCATCTAAGCCTTTAGAACATGCGAAAAGTGATGTTACATCCCACTGTATTTACTAATTTGAGTGTACGTGTGGCCACACATACATAGGGAGGATTGATCAGTCTCTACAAGTGAAGGCTTCAGATCATATTTCTAAATGGCTTCAGAAGCAAATAGAATCCCCAGAACCCACTAATGGTGGGAACAGGCGACCTAGCTCCTCTATAACGAAACATATTATAGAGACAGGACACAACTGGTTTTTCACTGTGTTCTTGAAATTCGTAGTATTTCTCGTTATATCGGTTAGGAGTGTATTCTCTTTCTATGAATGTGGTACGTGCTACTGACACGATTTTGTCAGTAATATCCTGAGTATCTGCAAAAATGCTGAATAGCCGACCTATTGGGGTAAGTTGCGAAAAGAAGAAATGACACACACATCCTTATGAAAGGATATTTGAAAGTATGAAAGGGAAGCACAAAAGAAGTACAAAAAGGAAGAACTTGTGCAAATGAAGATTCCAGTGTAAAGTTTATGCATTTCGGCGGATACTACAGCATGAATACATCGGATATTATTTTTATATTGAGATCTGAAAGTGATGATCCTACGGTTGTGTTGGTTCACGATGGTTTCACGATGCGTGCATATCCAAATGAGGATTATTCATTAGAGTGAAACCCATACACATGCACATCCTGCATTTAAGCCCCAGTTACTACTAGATATGCTTTACTGATAACTTAAGCTTTATTAGTCATGTGAATTAGGCTTCAATTTCACTCTATTTTGATAGGTAATTCATATATGTATATGTATCCTTTATAAATTGCCTCTCATTGAAACTCTTTCCTCTCTGTATTAGCGATTCTCTGAACTGAAACATCGGCCGTTACTGGTCGATTTAACAGTTGAAGAGAATACCCGATTAAAAGTGATCTATGGTTCATCTAGTGGATTTCATGCTATCGACCTAGATTCGAATACAGTCTTCGATTTATATATTCCTTCATTGGTAAGTTGTGTGTGTGTGTGCTCGTTCATTGGTATCCCATCTTTATATTTAAAATATTTTAATTAAAAATTGTTTTCTTTGGTTGTGTGTACACACAATGAATGAAGGGATGAAAACAAATCATCTCTGTGTTGAGTGTAGTGTAGTTGTCGTTGGTAGCGTTTAATTAATTTGTTATGTATAGATTCTACTACTTACTAGTATGTATAAGTAGGTCACTTTACTTGTTATTATTATTTTATTCCTTTACGTTCTACTTAGAACACGGGGCTTCAAGTTGAAGCCTTGAAGTTTCGATAGCAGTTATCTTTAATTTTTCATTGGGTGCGTTAGCTAGCCAGCCTCACACCCAATCTTCCTTCTTTGCCGGTCCAACTACCAGCTAAGCGACGAGGTCTAGGAGTGTGTCGACTGGGGATCGAACTCTGGACGTCATGAGTGGTTGGCCAGTGTCCTACCGCTGAACCACTGACGTACAAGTATAAGTATGTATTTTCTTTTCAAAATGTTCTCTTATAAACAGGATAGAACGATGTGAAGTTAATTAGCTCTCTAGTGGGACTATAGAGAATTAGATTGCAACATATGATTGATCACATTAGTCTCATTAGTGTGAGCTGCATTGTCTTTCGCACAGGTGTGTGAGGTCTATCGCGAGCCCTGAATATCTAGCTTAGTGGTAACGATTCTGGCTACAGCACTGGGTGAGGCTGGTTCGAATTCATTTAGCATTGCAGATACGCCTTGCTGACTGGTGAATGTGCCAACAACCACTAAACCTAAGTCCAGAACTTCCTTCCAGTTACGTGCAATTAACTAACATCAATTCAGTGTGATGTTTGTCTAACCACCAGACGATATGTGTGCTGTTGTGGGAGCAGTATGCTTTCTATTATTGTATGGCTGTGAGATATAGCTCTTCAAAGTAAAAGATATGAAGAGGCTGTTTGTCTGTCTCTGTCTGGATTTAACATAGAACCTGACACAAAAGTGCACCAGTTCGAGTTGCCACGTTCCAAATAGCACACAAAGGTAGACAAGAAAATGAGTAGAGAAAATCAATAGAGTTTTGACAAGTTCAAGAGTGAAACAGAATGAGTAATGGTAGAAAGGAATATGAAAGATTACACAAGAGACTGAATACATCTGCGTAAGCCATTGACAACGATTTTGAGCCATGTCACCTATTGTCTCCAGCCATTGATTCTGAGAGTTCCGAGGGCGGGCCCCAACCCGGAAGTCTGCATCTCCCTGGCTACCTGACTCAGTTTAACTGTCAAGGATTTCATGGATTGATTGATTCCATGTTTTTGTTTGGCCACCACTTACTCTTTTCCAACCTGCACCTATATCAGCTAGTAATGCCCGTCGGGGGAGGCGATGGTTTTGCATGCGCAGCACGTGACCTAGCCATCTCAATCTATGTAACTTTATAGCCTCTTCGATTGATTTTCCCTCTTTGCCCAACACTCTACGCCTAACGTCAACATTACTTACCTTATTATGCCACCTAACATGAGAAAGAGATCGTAGACATTTGTGATCAAAAACAGTCAACCTTTTCATGTCTCCAACTCGTATCGGCCATGTTTCAGATCCATAGAGAAGGATGGAGCGAACTGCTGAGCAGTACACACGTCCCTTGGTTGATAGTTGGATGTCACGCCTACTCCAGAGACGGTGTAAGTTGGCGAAAGCAGCTCCAGCTTTTTAGGTCCGTGCTGAGATTTCGTCGCTAATCAGTCCGTTGGTGTTGATACAACTTTCCAAATAGGTGAAGTTCAGTCCTGTAGCAGCATCTTACATTTTACAGGGGCGAATCGCATGCCAAACATACGAAGACTGCTGCTCAAGATGTTCAGAAGACTCTGCATTTTGTCAGCATCCTCCCATAACAGGACTATGTCATCTGCATATTCTAAGTCCATAAGACTATTCCCTGGTAACAAGTCGATTCCTAAGTCGTTAAGTTCAGTTAAGGATACTTCCATTAGCATATCTATGATGAAGTTAAACAGAAATGAGGAATGTGGACATCCTTGACGGACACCACTGGTTGTTATCAATTCAGATGACAATTCCCCATAAGCCCTTACACAGCTACGTGAGTTTGAGTAGAGTGCCTATATGAAGAGGCTAGCTGTCTTTGACCATGAGTGTCTGTGTCCTGTATCTTGCGCTATATATATATATATATATATATATATATGATTGTACAGCATTGATAATAAATTCTTTGAAAAGAGTCTCTTCACTGATTCAGTTGTTCTGATTTTCTAAATATTCCAATGGGTTATTTCCCATGAAAGTGAAATAGAACACTTTTTTTCTTCTTGAATAAAAATCAAGTATTTCCCTTCATATTTTGTTTGTTGGTTTGTTTGTCTTTTTCAGATCAATTCACAGATCACACCTCATTGTATAGTGGTTCTTCCCAATACAGATGGGATGCAATTACTTTTATGCTATGATAGTAAGTCAACATTTTGATTTACAATATTTTACAATATTGATAGAACTTATTATCTTTCGTTGAAAATATGTATTGATTATGTATACTAATGATTGATAATATGTGCGTGTGCGTGTGATCTCGTGTTCACGTCACCTTGATCTGATTGGTATGATCTGTCTCAAAGTATACTCATCATATGACTTGGTGGCAGTATGTAGGATGACACATCGCATTTAGCCTGGTTTCTAGGTATCATATACTGAAATATGAATAATTTTGATTAGTTTATTAGATATATCATACAGTCAGTGAAACAGTATTATTTATTGGATGACAATGTTTCGAACACAATCTATTGGTGTTCATAATCATTTCACCAACTATAATCATACGACTTCGAAACTTGAATTTTATAGTTTTATTTGTTCTCTCCTATTTGTCATCGTCGTAGGGGTAGTATAATTTGACATATATCCGCCTGGACAGGCGTTGAATCATTCCTATTATACGTCATTTGCAGTTGATTCGATAAATTTTTCGAACATATTAACTCAAAGGTGGAGGCAATTCAATTCATTTATGAATTGGAAATTCAGCAAGGGGAGCTTCCAATGTTAGATTGTAGCGTGTAAAAATGAAAGAAGATGGGAAGTTAAACACACTAGTGTGTTCACAGGAAACCCATACATTCAAACAAATATTTAGATTTCCGGTCATCCCATCCTATGCCAGTGAAAATAGGATTGGTGAAATGTTTCAGTAATAGAGCACAAAAACTAAGTATTACCAAGGAAAATCTAAGGCATGAAGTGAAGCATATAAGAGAAGCTTTGAAACTTAATAATTACCCTGATGAATTATTCAGAATGTATGTGGGGAAATGTAAAAATAAAATTATTAACGATAGTGGTGATAGCGATAATAATAGTAATATTAATGACGACATGCATCTCAAACATGTGCAGGATAATGACAACATCAAGAATAAGGAGTCTAAATCATTATTAATAATTCCATACATAGAAGGAACCTCAGGAACCTTACACAGAATTCATAAGAGGGTAGGAATAAAAGTGACTGGCATTCAAACTGACCACAAACTCAATTAGAAACAAGCTTTGTCGGTTAAAGGATCTTGCCTATGGAACCTTTAAAACAAAACAATTTAGTTTATCAAATACTCTACCTGCAATGATTGTCAGTTCAAATACATAGGTCAAAGTAGTAGGACAGGTGCAGTTGGACTAGCCGAGCATAAAAATCTGGGATACTCTAGATTAGTTGAACCGAATAAGATAAGAAATCTAGAGAATAGTTCAGCTATAGCACTCACTACATGCAATTACGCACACAATTATACAATAAGATGGATGGGATAAGATGACAGTGGAGGGAGACATTGATAACAGAAGCTTTGTTTATCGAATCAACTGATAGCAAACACGTGTAGTAGGAATGATTCAGCGCCTGTCCAAGCGGACATATGGAAAATTCTACTACCCCAACGATGACAAATAAGAGAGAACAAAAAAAACTATAAAGCTCAAGTTTCAAAGTCATGTGATTATAATTGATGAGATGATTATAAACAATAATGAATTGTGTTCGAAACATTATCATCCAGTAAACAGTAATACTGTTTCACTATGTGATATATCTAAAAGATAAACTAAGTTTTACACATATATTGATATGAAACTGTAGTGTGATTGATGATTACACTTCGAATTGTGTGTTTACTTTGTAAGTAGGTCGTGACTGTATTCTATGCATGAATTAGTTATGTTAACATCTGGATTGTATTACACCAAGTTGATAGTGAGATTCAATAGCACCCCGCCCCGCCTCCCGTATCTTTTGAGTGTTAATAATCTGCCTGTTTTAACGCAATATTCATTTAAATATTTTCCTTCCTGTTTTTCATATAATTATTTTATTCATTATTTCTCGATATAGAAAGGAAGACGAAATTCGCAGTATAAAATGATATCGTCATTCTATTCCACAGGTTCTCATCAGCTGCAGACTATCTGAGATTACAATGGTTATATAGATGATAATAACAACATACTTTAATGTTTAAGTGATAGTAGAGAAGAGGTACTGAAAAATTGACGCATCCAAAATGTATGCAGCATTACAATTTTTAGTTTAAGTTTTCATCATCCATTTATACGCTTTCAAAGTAGAAAAGAGGGGGGAGGGATAAGACAGGAAACAGAAAAAATTAATTAACAGAACAGTGTTAGCTTGTAGGTTCACACAGTAGCTCAAAAAACAAAAGCGGTTACCGTTTATAAGATTAAGATTTGTTCAGTAAGTTGGGATCACTGAATTAGATGACCAATTAATGTAATCAAAATCAAAATTCAGTTACCAAGGGAGTGATTTTGATTACATTAGTCTACAAGACAAATAACTGCTTTATTTTTTGCTGGTCAATATAAAACTACTATTACGTAATATTTTCTTTTCCTTTAAACTTGTGTTGTTGTTTTTATCTAGCTGAAGGTGTCTATGTAGATACAAATGGTAAATTAACTAAAAATGTCGTTATACAATGGGGTGAAGTGCCAACCTGTGTTGCTTATATATCCACTGGCCAATTACTCGGTTGGGGTTTAAAGGCCATAGAGGTTAGATCAGCTGAAACTGGCCACCTGGATGGTGTATTCATGCATAAACGTGAACAGAAATTCAAATTCCTCTGTGAACGTAACGACAAGGTGGGTAGAGGCTTTTTTTCTTTTTTCTGTCTCCCTCTCCATTTGTTTATATAATATATTATATTATTATTATTTGTTATTATTATCACCATTATTCGCTTGGGCTCCCAGTCGAACATAGAGCTTCAGCAGTCTTTCTTAGTTGGCTCCGGGATCGCCCATAAGCTCCATGTCACTCTGGGACGCCTAACTTGTCTTTTCGTTTTCGGCTTCCACTAGAGGGTCTGGCTCATGGTTTCACTCACTGCTGTCTTCAACGTACATTCAAGCCATCACTATTTCCTTCGACGATGATAGGCTTTTGGTTGGTTTATTGCCAACGTCCATTGTCGCTTCTTCTTTTTAGTCATCTGATCTATTCAGCATGGATTGAAGACAGCTGTCGATAAAAGTCTGAAACCTATTTGAAATGCTTTTCGTGGTGCCTTCGCCAAGTTCCTGACCCAACTAGAGGGACTAAGTGACTTGATATTAGTGTTGAACTTCCACATTATGTCTTTATGCTGAGTACAGCAGTTCTCCAAATTGATTTCAAAGAGATTACGGTTTGCCTTGCCTTTCCGATCTTGGTTTCAACATCCTCATCCGTATCGTCTTTACTTGAAATGAGATGCTACCTAGATAAGTGAAGAAAGTGACCCTTTTTTTTTAAATTTCTCCCGATGATAGTGGTTGGGGTGTTTCTTGTTGTTGTGGTGGTTAGTTATCTTCATCACCTACCTTCGTCTTCTCTATGTTTACCTGAAGTTCTGTCTTCACTGCCCGCTTCTTCTGTCAGTTTGTTGTTTTTCGCCTGAAGGTCTTCTAGTTTGTATACCATTAGACATGAATCATCTGCGAAATCCAGATCTTCTAGAGTATTCTTATCAGTCCAGCGTATTCCTACCTTTTCACTCCCACGCACAGTCTGACACATAATCCAGTCCACCATAATGTGGAATACCATCAGTGATAATAGGCAGGCAGCCAGCTTGTCTTACTACTGTATTCACTGCGAACACCTCATTGAGTTCTCCGTTGTGGATCACTTGACACGTGGCATTGCCATATAGTTGTTGAATGACGTTGATAAAGTCTTGGGCACTGCACGTCGTAGTGTTGAAGTAGTTTCCAAATAACTTCTCGGTACGGTCGACGCTGTCTGGTGAATGCCTTTTCGAAGTCGATGAAGTTCAGGTACAGAGAGGTTTAACTGCCATTCTATGCTTTGTTCTGTGATGACGATGCATAGAGTTGCACATATATATGATGTAATGCACTATACGACGCAGCAATGTTTCGTATCTAGATAAGTCAATAACTCACCTTCTACCACAAATGTATTATAGTTATCCTGAATACTCAGAAGTGATGGAGAAGATTTATACCTCATATAGGATGATTTTGGGGCTAGTTGTTTCGTTCCCTCCTCAGAATGCTTTCATTGTGAAGCTAGCACACTGTCTTTCTACAAGACAACATTATCTTGTGTGCTTACTTCAGGATGGAGTGAACATTTTAAAATTCTCAACCAGTGTAATAACCGTGTGTCTTGATAAAAATATGAAGCTGATTGGTCGTTTCTTGAAATTTTCTCATCTTTCTTAACCAATCAAGTCCTTGCAAACCAACACTTGGAAATCTTTTGGTTGGTCACTAGCAATTGGCTCTACACAGGAAGTTAGGTAGAATTCGAATGAAAAGTCACGACCATTGGCGTCCACCAAGTCAGGTGAAAGGACAGTTATTATTATCATTGTTTCATTTAATTCCTAGAAGAACATACGGCTTCAACCGTGCGTCTCCATTGCGTTCGGTTCTCTGTTAGAGTTTTCACCTGGCTCCAAGTCTGCCCACACGTTTTCATCTCCTCTTCACATGACTTCCTCCAAGTCACCCTTGCACTGACGACCAACTAACTCGCCGCTTCCCTTTCGAGTTCCACTCGAGCAATGGCTTGTCTAGTGATGTCACTTGATGGTTTCCTCAGAGTATTACCCAGCCAATCCATCTCCATTTCCTCCTGCCTATTTGTTTCACAATTGGTTCCCGGTTGGTTGGCTCACTGCCAGAGATCCCTGTTGGTGATCTTTTCTGGCTGGCCATCTGATCTTGAGTATTGAGTGAAGACAGCTGTTAATGAAGGTCTGTAGTTTGTTTGAGATGCCAAGTCTCTGATCCGTATGTTGAGTAGCACTGACTTCACATTGGAGTTGAAAATCCGGATCTTGTTTTTCATGCTGAGTAGTGCTGTTGACCTTCACAGGACAGTTACTCACGGATAACACTGGCTGGTGGTTGCTCTATGTTATCGCGTACTGGCAGAAGTTGGAATTCATTGGCCATTGGATCGGGTCCCAGTGGTCGAATTGTCTATAGGTCCTTGGGTTCGAACCCCGGTGAGAGTGCATACTAACGATGATTCCCAAATAAGGATGAAACGGCTGTTCAGTCAGCTCATGATCAAACATGTCACATTTATCGAACAAAAGGTCAACTATCAGTTCAACAACAATACAAGAGACTATGTGAAAATCCGAGACTGCCAATCACGTTCGAGCTTATCAGGATAGACGGTTTATACATTCATCGAAAATTCTAAAATTCCTAAGTCATCTTGTGAAGTGATAACTTAACTAGAAAGACAAAGATTAAACCCTCACAAATAAAACAATCTAGCGTCAGAAAATGTAATTACACTAAAGTATTTATTTCTTCTGAAGTACACAATAAATATTGTGCGTCTGTGGCATAGCGGTTAGGACGCTCGCCGACGAAACAGCTTGTTCAGTACTCCTTGGTGGTTTTCCAACCGGTTGTCAACTCATGATGAAATCCTGTAACCAATGAAATCTCTGTAGACTCCAAAACTTGAATATCAGAAATTTTAAGGTATCTTAATTCTTTTATATGTATATGTGGGGCATTACACATGGTGATTATTTAATCTTTCTTTGTAATTAATAGTGTACTCTGAGCTGGTTGGTTTGGTTGCGGAGCTTTCCTTGTCCCCCTGCTGGAAAACGTCCCCCTTCAGCGCAATTTTCAGCATTAAGTGAACTGATTTAAATTTCTTCATGAGTGATAGAATTCCGTCTCCCGGTAACCATATTTACATGTGTGTATTCATCATTTTCTATTGACTTGGATTTTAAACTTTCTCGTCACATGATTTACTTTTAATTAGTTGGTATATATTTGGTCTATATGTTACCGCGTTTGCATATTCGTTTGTGTACCAGGCTTCTAGGAATTCCCTGACTGCACTTTTAGTGTTTCCTCTGTCTAAGATTTCGACATTATCCCAATCAAACTGATGTCCATAATTGTCTATATGCATTGATATAAAACAGGAATATATATCATGTCTTTTCATCACGGCTGATTTGTGTTCTTGTATTCTGATTCGAAGGGGACGCCCATTTTGACCGATGTAATGTCTGTTACGGTTCATAGAGTTTATTTTGTAAATGGTATTAATTTTATCTTCTTTTTCTATTGGATCTCTCAGTTTGCATAATATCGAATTAAGCGATTTGACTGGCTTGTGTGCTATATCTATTTCTATCTAGAATATTGAAACCATTTGAAATAGATATAGCACACAAACCAGTAAAAACACTTAATTCGATATTATGCAAACCAAAAGATCCAATAGAAAAAGGGGATATAATTAATACCATTCACAAAATAGATTGTATGAACTGTAACAGACATTACATCGGTGGTCGAAGTTGGCGTCCCCTTCGAATCAGAATCCAGGAACACAAATCAGCCGTGATGAAAAGACATGATATATATTCCTGTTTCATATCAATGCATATAGACAATTATGGACATCAGTTTGATTGGGATAATGTCGAAATTTTAGACAGGCGAAACACCAAAAGTATCAGTCAGGGAATTCCTAGAAGCCTGGTACTCAAACGAAAATGCAGTTAACAAACACGTTAACATATAGACCACAAATATACCAACTAATAAAAAGTAAATTACATGTGACGAGAAAGTTTAAAATCCAAGTCAATAGAAAATGGTGGTTACCGGGAGACACAATTCTATCAGTCATGAAAAAAATTTAAATCATTTCACTTTATGCTAAATATTGCGCTGAAGATGTTGTTGTCCAGCAGGGGGACGAGGAAAGCTCCGCAATTAAAAACCAACCAGCTCGGAGAACACTATTCATTACAAATCATTCACCTGAGCTACAAATCTCTATTATTAACCTTTCTTTCTTTTGTTTTGTTGCCTATATATATCTAAAATAAAGGTCTTCTTTTCAAATACCCGATCTGGACCACCTCAAGTATCAATGATGACTCTTAGTGGAATTCACTGGTAAATTACAACAGAGAGAGAGAGCGAGGAGTGGGGTGTGGTGGGGATCAATCATGTTATTATCTCGGTTACTCCTACTCTACTCTACACTACTACTACTACTACTACTACTAATACTACTGTTAATTTCTTTATTTTGTTATTTATTTGTTCTTTGTTCTCTCTGTGTGTATTTCCTGAAAATTGAAACTTTTCTAAGAACTAACACCCTATGTGTATGACACGCTTTTACATGCCTACACATATATACCAATACACATACATACAGAGGAAAATCAGTCAGTATTCTTATACATATGCATATATGCACAACCAATCATCACAAACATAATATGACTACTAATCAGATAACCCTTTGGTGCGTGTTCTTTTCTTCTCTCTGATCTAAATCATCATTTGTTGTAAGTCAGAGAAGATCAGGAGGGAAAAAACGCACTACCAGGAGGGGAGGGAGAGGAAGAAGCGAAAACACCATCAAAGCCAAGCCCAACTTTCCCCCACCCCTCATTCTTATGTGTATAATTAAATTTACTTACAATCTCCTCTGATTGGCATGGCTCTTTCTTTCTGTCCCTCCCTCGCTCTTTCTCAACGCATTTTGTGTTCAATCTCTATGTATATTGTTATTGTTACTAATATAACTGTTAATATCATAATTATTATTAATATTATCATTATTTCGGAGTGTTTTACACGAGGACAACCCCATTTATCTTATATATATATGAATCAAGCAATCAACCACCTTAACACCTTCGTTGTTATCCAGTATTCTGTGACACGTCGACACACTACTACTGCTATTATTATTATTCATACTATTCACTAGGGGGATATACATATGCATAAGTTTGTTTTTTTCTAAATAAAATAAAATAAAATTTTAGCAAGTTTATTCACAAATTCAATCTTTTCTTTTCTTTTGTTATTAAAAAAAAAACTTAAGAGACAAACATACGCCGCGTATAGGAATCGTCTTTATTATTATTATTATTATTATTATTATTATTATATATTTACTGCTTAGTCATTTTTGATGAACACTCACTCTTCTTCTGCCTCTACTTCGTCCTCTTCTCCTTCCCTTTTATGTTTATCTAGGCGAATGTTAAAGCGAAAATTCTGTTTGTTTGTTTGTCTGCGTGGGTGTGAGTTCGATTAGTGCTGTTTCTCTTTCTTTCTTTTTTGTTTGTGAGCAGTACTCAATCATTGACTCATTTACATACACAAACACACATTATTTGTTAAGGTACCATGCATAATTCTATTCTCTTTAACCAATCAAAAGTTCTCGTTGTTGCTGTTACGTAATCAAGGGGAAAGGAAAGAGGAGGAGGAGGGGAACAGACTCAATTATTACTATTGTTCTTCTCCGTTTCGTTAATGGCTGCGGGGGTGGGGGTGGGCAGAACAGTGAATGATTGATTGTCCGGTTGGCTGTTGTTGTTAGTTAATTCATTCAAATTCTTGATGTTCATTATGATTTAAATTGTGTTGTTTTCGTTTTGATCACTATTCATTTCAGCTGATGATAATGGTGATGATAACGCTGACATGTTTTTTCTATCCTCCTTCCTCTTCTTCTTTTATTTTTTAACAATGTGTTACTTTATTGGCTGCTGCTCAGTGGTGTGGTGCTGGTGCTGGTTGTGGAGTTTTATTATTACACTCACTATCACTCACTATCCACCAAGTGTGACCTACGTATATGTGCTCGAGTGTGTACACTCGCCGTATGTTTGTATGTTGTAAAAGTGTTTTAAAAACGGACTGATCTGTGTATAGTAAAGAATGCCAATGGGGAAGACTGATTGTGTGTTGCTGGCTGTTCTGTTTCCTTTTCTTTTTTCTCTATTTCTGTTTTTTTCTTAAAAAAGGCGGGTTGTTTTTTTATCCATTACAAACAAACAAAAAATAATGATGATAATAATAATAGATAGATACGTGATTCGACTTTTTCTTCTTCAATCTAAATGTTAATGTAGGGTAAACAATGCCAGAGGGGTGGGTGCGTGGGCTGGGTTGGTTCGATTTCCAGATGACACACGCACACCGTGCGTCGGTGGCACCGAGCATGAACATTGTCCGGGGTCCTATCCCCGGCCGACGCACACCTGGTCTGGTATCAATGGTCGGCTTGCTAAAATTTAGGCCACCGATATCACATGCTGAAAAAATTCCATAGCTGTACGAAATATACTGTGTGGAATGAAGCCTAAATAAAGATTTTAAGAAATAATAAACGTATCGTAGTTCTACTAGTCGGTAGTAAAACTCCATTATGGATAAGATTTTATTTTGATGAATCACACAGTGTTGTACAGTAATGTTAACTGATGACGTTTCGAGCATAAACTATTGCTCATAATCATATCAAGTTACTCACTCACACAACTTTTTTCCTTCATTTATATACATGAGTGAGACTGATGATTAGACATTTGAATAAAAATCAATATTGGATAATGTACATTCAAAAATAATAATATGAGTGTTATGGATCAGTTACAATCACATGGGAGAATATTGCTCTTAATACATTTAATCCTACTCTAAAAATATGGTGGAGATATGTGGATGACACTTTCACAGTGTTAAAAACAGAACATATCTCTTGCTTTGAATAAGGCATTAAGAAGACGAATTTCGCGAGATGATATCATTTCGTAGTTTCTTTACAACCACTTTACAACTGACATGGTTAACAATAATAAAATAAAGATCATGACAATTACTCAGTTAAATAAAAAACAAAGGTACAATACTGATGACCAACCATATTTAGATAGGTCAAGTAGTCCAGGGTAGGCGAAGTTGAAGTCTATTATATTGTGTACACACAGTTTAGGCTGTATGTGATTAATCCAAAGTGCTTCCATCACCTTCAATAACCAACCTTGAATTAGAGTTATGTGATGAAATAATTGTGAAACAGTCATTAATATTGATTTTGTGACCAGAAATTAATAAGTGTTTTGCAATGGATGATGCTGGATTTCTATTCAGATTACTGGCATTGGGATTTTCTATATAATTTAGTAACCATTTTGGAACATGTTCCTTTCGACGACATTGGAACATTCTGTTGGCTCATCCGCAGCTGCAGGTAAACTTGTAGAGTCCACAGAATTTCGTCCTTTAATCGTAGGTACAGGGATCGAAAATGTTCGGCAAGTGAGAAAAACACTTATTAATGTCAGGTCACAAAATCAATATTAATGACTTTTACAATTATTTCATCACATAACTCTAATTCAAGGTTGGTTATAGAAGGTGATGGAAGCACTTTGGATTAATCACATACAGCCTAAACTGTGTGTACACAATATAATAGACTTCAATCTTCGCCTACCCTGGACTACTTGACCTATCTAAATATGATTGGTCATTAGTATGTACTTTCGTGTATTTTATTTAACTGAGTAATTGCCATGAACTTTATTTTATTATTGTTAACCAAGTTAGTTGTAAAGCGGTTGTAACGAAACTACGAAATGATATCATCTCGCGAAATTGGTCTTCTTAATGCCTTATTCAAATTTATCAAAGGGACTAATTGTTTTAATATATCTCCAGCTTCTTGACACATAAACTCACTAGTAAGAGGAAGAAAATTCGCATTTGAATCGGAAAATGAACAAGGAGAATTAGCTATATTAGATTGTAAAATACAACGAATAGGAAACCAACGCATTCTAATAGATATGTAGACTTTAACTCGTCTCATGCGTTAACTGTTAAGGCAGGCTTAGTTAAGTGTTTAACAAACCGAGCAGTAGCACAAGAAAAGACCTAAATTATGAAATAAACCAGATAGAAGGAGCGTTGGTATCAAATAACTATCCTATAAAATTCATTAGGAAGATGAGATAAGGCCATAAGCAAATAAAAATAATTGTGAAACTAGTAGTGGCAACATAAGTAAGAGAGAATATAAGGCATCTACAGTAGTTTTGCCATATAAGAAGGGGAGATCTGAGACCCTACTTATTAGTATTCTCAATAAAATAGGAATTCGAGTGGCGTTTAAACCTACAAACTCACTCAGAGACAAGCTTTATAGGCTAAAAGACCCGGTGAACCCAATTAAACAAAATAAAATAATTTACAAAATACCCTGCAATGACTGTGAAGTCAACTATATAGGTCAAACTAGTAGATCGGGGGTAATCACATTGTCGGAACATAAGAATCTAGCTAAGGTAAGAATGGTTGACCCCGAGAAGATGAGAAATTTAGAAAAAAGCTCAGCAATTGCAATACATGCATTAACTCAAAAGGGTGGGAGAGGGTTCAGATTCTAAGAAGTAATCTATGTAGGTGGAGAAAGAGATTGATTACAGAATCCTGGTTCATTGAGTCTCCACCCAACACAACACATGCAACAGAAATGACTCAATGCAAATACCAGAAATATGGAAGATATTATTACCGCCGGTCAGTCAAATCAGAAGAGGATAATAAATAATCTCAAATTTCTATTTCGATTCAAGCACATCACAACAATCTAACAAGTTACTTATTATGAATATAAAAACACTCGTCTCATTTCCCATCTAATTGTATCTGATCAATAACACTCATATTATTATTTCTGAAGGTACATTATCCTATATTGATTTTTATTTAAATATCTAATCAATTTCACACATGTATATAAATGAAAGAAAAAGTTGTGTGAGTAACTTGATATGATTATGAGTGGCAATAGTTTGTGCTCGAAACGTGGTCATCAGTTAATATTACTGTGTGATTTATCAAAATAAAATCTTGTCCATAATGGAGACACTGAATGAGATCTTCGAGTGGAACCCGAATGGGTAAAACCGAGTTGTGTGTGTGTATCAGAGGGTGATATGGAGGTGATCATGTGCATAGAAGTAAATGAAAGTATTATGCACAGTCAGTCATGGAGTCAGCTAAAAAGGAGACTAATTGTGAACAAACTTCTGTTTTCTTTTCTTCACGTTCCCCAGGGCTTCAAGCTAGTGGCTTGAAGTTTTGTAGCAGTCTTTATTTTACAGGATGGGGTTGCTAGCCTCATGCCCAACCTTTCCTCTTCACTAGCATTATTTCTGGCTTAGCGAGGTAAAGGAGTGCGTCGGCCGGGAATTGAACCCCGGACCATGTTCATGGTCGGTAAGCGTCCTAACGGCTATGCTACTGACGCACATGTGATTAATCTTTCAAGCAAATAAAATCCCTGCAAACCAAACACTTGAAAATGAAATCTTAATGGGACAGTAAATTATGAGAGATCGTATGTACATTCGTTATTCCACCTTTCGCTTATTGGTTAGCATTTCCAGTGATAAAGTCATTGAATCACTCACTACCTTGAGTTCCCTTCCTAATCTAAGTTCAAGTTGTGTCTCTCTCACTCACTGTCTAGTGCACACAAATACAAACAGTTAGGCGTTCGCACCATTCGTCGTGTGCTTAACTCTAGGAATCTCTATAAATGCCAATAAACAAGTAGAGTCTGACTGAAATTTATGTCTGCGCAATTACTCATAAGTGAAAGGCGAAGTTTTTTAACGGTGAAATAAGAAGCTGGTAGTTGAATATCGCTTAACAGTAGAGATGTGACTTATTGACTTAACCGAGTTTCAGCCTAGAACTCTTCGCAGAAGGGCAGCAGTTCAAACTCTCACACTCCATGTAGAACGCAAAGGTAGAGAAAAAGATTCGAAAGAATTGGTTGAGAAAAGGAATAGTATCATGAGGGTCTAAGGAATATAGGAGGTCCCATTGAGTGAATGGCCGCCATCTGTGCCACTGAGAACGATTTTGAGTCATATCATCATCAGTCTGCAGCCATTGGTTCTTCGCTTTCCACGGTCCCTAACCAGGCAGCCTACACTTCCTTCTCTACGTGGCTCAAACCAACAGTCATAGATTTATACCAGGTTTTTTTTTATCACTCCTAACTCTTCTAGAAACTAATTCTATGTTCGCTAACATTGCTAGGTGAGGAAGGTCGTAGCTTGGCATGCACAACGCGTATCCTAGCTATCTCAATTGATATGACCTCAAAACCTCACCGATTGACTTCCCCTCCTTACATGTAGGATTCTACGCCCAGCCTGTGTTACCCGTCATATTTATACCACGTAACACGCAGATATCTGTGATCGAAGATAACTACCCTGTTCAAGGCTTCCACTCTCGGTGTTTTTGTCTCACAGCCATAAAAGAGGATAGAGTGAACTAATGTGCTGATCGGCAGCCAGAGGTAACGACATAAGTTGGCCAGTCCCACGTGGGCTTTTTGTGTCCATGCTGAGATTTCGTTAGTGGCCTACTAAATAAGTGAAGTGGTCAACACGCTCTACCATTTCGTCCCCTATTTCTTTAAGCTAGCTAGGAGTCGGTGTAGTCCAGTCCTACAGGATTATCTTACATTTGGAAGGGAGTGAATCGCGTGCCAAATATTCAAAGACTCCAGCTTAAGGTGTTCAGAGGATAATGGCTTAAGTAGTAACCGGATTTGAATCTCTCCTCGCCTACTTAAGCCTAGGAAACTGGGTAGAATCACCAGCCCATTCACATTGCGTCGCTACTAGACTGAATCAGAAGAAATCTTTACTGGGTAGTTGAGTGCTAACCTGACGAGAAAAACGAATGCGTACCGACTACGTGTGTTAAAAGGAATGGCACAGAAGCATTGTTTGAGTTGTTTCACCTTAAACTGAGGACAATAATTTTGATATGCACCACTATTTTGTATTGACTACGGACAAAAAAGTCAGGTATTGATGCGTTTATGTTCTCTGAGTTGGTTGGTTTAATTGCGGCAGGCCTGCTTAGAACTTGGGCTACCATCTCCCTATTGACCATATATTTTCTCTCATTCGGTTTGTTTTAATCGATTAAGACACGATCTTTAATAATATCATCTACTCTGGTGTGTATGTAAAATGTTTACACGCTCCTGTCTGATTCGCAAGTTCCTACTAAACTTGAGGAATGGCCTGATTATGGGTGGCAATGTGTTCCAGTACATTAGATAACTGTTCTTCAGTTATGTCCACTGGTCTCAAAATGTACTTCTGAACATCTTAACAACTGGCTTTCAACTCGATCGATATCATAGATTTCTTGAAGCAGACAGAGACAAAGCAGATATATCATCATCATAATGGAATGGTTTATGCTTCAACTCAGAGACCATTTTATATCACGGCATGTAATACTGTCAAGTAATTAATACATAGACATAGAACATAGACAAGACGGAGGTTATGAAAATAACCAACCAACCAACCAACAACAACAGCAACAACCAGCGCCAATCACCATCAACGGGAGGGGTTTGAAAGAGGTTACTTCATTCATTTATCTAGGGAGCATTGTCTCAACTACAGGAGGAACGGACGAGGGTGTCAAATCGAGAATCGGAAAAGTGAGAAACACATTCATCAACCTGAAACCAATCTGGAAATCTTCGTCACTCAGCCTGCATCAACAACAAAATTCGGATTTTCAATACAAACGTCAAGTCAGTCACTTCTTCTATACGGATCAGAAACTTGGCCTGTGTGTCACAAAGAATATTTCCAACAGCCTGTTGCACACCTTTATCAACAACAACCGTCTTCGTTCTATACTCAAGATCAGATGGCCGGAACAAACAAAACAAGAACCAATCGCTCAACAAATATGCAGGAGAAAGTGGGGAGGGATTGGACACTCGCTGAGGAGGTCGCTGGGTGACATCGCGCGTCAGGCCATAGCTCGAGTGGAACCCGTTGAAAGGGAAGCGGCGAGTGGGATGTCCAAGGGTGACATGGAGGAGATCGTGTGAAGAGGAGTTGAAACAGTATGGACTAACATGGATGCAGGTGAAAAGTACAGCAGAAGACAGAAGCAAGTGGAGATGTGCAGTTGAAGCCCTATGTTCCACTAGGAATCCAAGGGAACAATAATGATAATAATAAATATTTTATTTGAAGATATTGTACGAAGGAGGTAAATATCATGCAATAAACTCCTCTGAAGATTCTGTACATTTTATAAATACTGTCCAGAATAAAGATGTTATTATTATTATTATTCGCAAAAGTCTTAAAAACCAGTTATAGTGAGAATGAAAAGTATTTGTATTCTGACGACAGATCACAAGATTTTTCAATATACGTAAATAGAAACTAATAAATACAATATTGAAAGAAAAGCATATGAAGAGAGAACTCCCAAAAATCAGACAAGTTAGTCAGTTAGTTAGCTAGCTGATGATCAAGATTTTTTCTATCTTTTGATTTTAATATGGCCTTCGTAGACGCATACGACTGCAGAGATTGCTTTGCAGGCCAACTGTTAAATCCCAATACTTTCGTTGGTCATTTAAGTGTCTTCCACAATCGGCTCTATCTCTTTTCTGAGCTGATGATATTTTTAAATCTGAATTTTGTAGAATAGAAACGGTTTTTTGATTGTTACCAGTATGATTTGTCAAGTATGCTGCATTATTGTTGGTGCTTGTCGTAATACTACTTGTGCTGCTCAAGTGTTGTTTGTAGACTGTTTTCATTTTTCGATGACCAAGTACAGTACCAGAGGGTAGTCGTACTTCGTAGACATCTTCATCGTCTGACTACACGCACACACACACAGTGAGAATAAATGACAAAAAACAACAACAACAATGTTAGAAATGATTAACGCATATCTATCAACATTATAAAAGTTCTATTTGTATTTCCCAATGAATGAAAAACAAAATGATATTACATATTAGTTTGTTTATTAGATGTCCCGACCGAAAGCTGCTACCTTGACGTGGTGGTCGGGTTTGAACACCGCAATGACACAACAAGCTATACTGGCTGAGACTTATGTCGCTTGAGGTCCTACCATGCGAGAAAGGTTGTTTGGATAGCGGTCAGACAAAAAGCAGTTACCCGACCCAATGCTATGACTCAAAGTAAATCACAAAATATCATGCTGGATCGGTCGGGGCCCGGATCAACAATGACCACGCTTCCTGCTGCCATGTCACAGGGCAGAAGTGATAATATGTCACTGAGACACACTAAATGAAAAAGAACAAACCAAACAGGCCGCGTGTGACCGACCTCAAGCAGTTGTCTCCTGGGCTCTGCGGTCACGCAACCAACTTCCACGGTGTGGGCAGCCGGGAAGTAACAATCGCCCTCACAATCCGAAATGCACGCGAAACCTCTCTGTTTATTAGATGTATCATACATTCGGTGAAACAGTATTATTTACTGGATGACACAGTTTCGAACAAAATTTATTACTGTTCATACTCATTTCAATTATAGTCACACGACTTTGAAACTTGAGTTTTATAGTTTTCTTTGTTCTCTCCTATTTGTCGTCGTCGTTGGGGTAGTAGAATTTTCCATATGTCCGCCTGGACAGGTGTTGAATCATTCCTATTACATGTATTTGCAGTTGATTTGATAACACAAAGCTTCTGTTATCAATGTTTTTCTTCACCCTGTGACATTAGATTTTAAAACAGTCATTCTATCCCATCCTATTGTATGGTTACGTGTAATCGCATGTAGTGAGTACTATAGCTGAACTATTCTCTAGATTTCTTTTGATTGACCCGAATAAGATAAGAAATCTAGAGAATAATAGTTCAGCTATAGCTCTCATTACATGCAATTACACACAACCATACAATAGGATGGATGTGATAAGATGACAGTTTCAAAATCTAATGTAATGCGTGGGTGGAGGGAGAGATTGATAACTGACTGAGGCTTTATTTATCGAATCAACTGGGAATACATGTAATAGAAGTGATTCAACACCTGTCCAGTCGGCTATCTGAAAAATTCTACTACTCCAACGACGACAAATAGTAGAGGGCAAAGAAAACTATAAAACTCAAGTTTCGAAGTCGTTTGATTATAATTGATGATATGATTATGAACAGTAATAAATTTTGTTCGAAACTGTGTCATCCAGTAAATAATACTGTTTCACTGAATGTATGATACATCTAATAAAAAAACTAATATGGAATTACTTACTACCACAGTGCTCAAGTTTTACACATATATTAAAATGATATTACTGTTTTTACTGACGTGTCACTATTTAGTGCTGTACTGATCACTATTTCCATTTCTATTTAATTTCATCATAGATAATGTACTAATGAACTTAACCTTAACTGCTGACTTCAGCAACTCAGGGATTGACTTGTTACCCTTGCTGGCTGGATTCAACATAGAACTTGGCACCGAAGTGCAGCAGTTCCAGTTGCCACGTTCCAAATAGCACACAAAGGTAGACAAGAAAATGAGTGAAGAGAATCAATCAATCACTCCTTTACCTCGCTAAGCTACAACCAAAGCTGGTGAAGAGGAAAGGTTGGGCATGAGGCTAGCAACCCCATCCTGTAAAAATAAACACTGCTGCACAAACTTCAAGCCTCTAGCTTGAAGCCCTATGTTCCACTGGGAACGTGAAGGAATAAATAAAAAGGATAAGCGGGAACTTTCACCATTCTCCACTTCAATAAAAAAATTTCCCGACCGAAAGCTGCTACCTTGACGTGGTGGTCGGGCTTGAACACCGCAATGACCCAACAAGCTATATTGGCTGAGACTTATGTCACTTGTTACCATTAGGGAATAATCTCGTTGACTTAGAATATGCAGATGATATATATAGTCCTTCTAGGTGAGAACGCTGACATAATGTAGAGTCTTCTGAACACCTTGAGGAGCAGCAATCTTCGAATGTTTGACAGGCGATTGATTCGCTGCTGTCAAATGTAAGATGATGATGCTACAGGATTGGACTACATTGACTTCTAGCTTAAAAATAGACAGGAGTGAAGTGGTAGAACGTGCATCAGCCAGTGCCAGCAGGTTGATAGCTGACGGATATAGAAGGCTCGCTTGGTATATGCAATTTCTGGCTTAGTAGACGTCATATCAGACTGCCTGTCGACCAAAAGGCGTGTGAACTGCTCAGTAGTTCGTTCTGTCCTCCTCTATGGCTGTGAGTGAGACATGCCAATTGAAAGTAGAAGACACGAAAAGGCTAGTTGTCTTTGATCATAGATGTCTGCGTTCTATCTCCCGTGTGAAATGGTATAATAGGGTCGAGTGCTTGGTGAAGCGGAGAAATCAATAGACGAGGCTGTGAAACTACATCGACTGAGATGGTTAGGACATGTGTTACCTCTTCTTCGACAGGAAATGTTAGCTGACATAGGGTCAGGTTGGAAAAGAGCCAGTGGTAGTCAAACCAAAACCAACATGGCTTCATCAGTCAATGAAATCTACAACAGCTAGTTTAAGCCACGTAGGAAGGTGTAGACTGGCTTCCTGGTTGGTGTTCTCAGGACGGTAAACACCAACGGCTGGAGACGATTGGTGATATGGCTGAAAATCGTTCTCAGTGGCGCAGATGCATCCACTCCTTGTGACTTGTAATATCCAATGCAACTATATAGTTCTTTGATATCACTATTCTTTTTGCCTCATGTCTCTGCTTACTGTCTCGGTTTTGAATCTCTTTTTACTTCCTTCTCTTGTTCTGTGTGCTAAGTGAAGTGCGGCGACTCAAGCTGATGTACATCGGTGCAAGGTTCTACGTTGAAACCAGTCAGTCATTGAGTGCTGCTAATAGCTTAAGCAAAGTATCAGGTAAAAGGTCGTATCCCTAAGGATTCCCAACCTAATTGTGTCTACAAAATAAAATCCTTGGCATGTGATGCGATATACATCGGACAAAAACTGCCAGAAATCAAGATCAGAAGAAATGAACACCTTAGAGCATCTGTGTTCGACCACCAAGAAATCCAGATGAACTGGGAAAGCTTGGAAAAGCATCAGCCATAGGTCGTCTACACGCTATATAATTAGGCCGAAAAATTGATTTTGACAATATTGAAATATACAAAGTGGAAGTGGGGGGGGGGGTTGAATCCCACTTAATAATGCAAATTATCTAAGGACACAAATAACTTACCAGTAAGAAAGGCGAAACAACAACAGACTGATCGTAAAACTGGCTGAATAGCTCACCACCTGCAAGACCGACTTTAGGATAGTTCTCCGCAGAATCCTCATCTGATTCTTCTTCTTCAGCTTCAGCTATCAATAATGCAGTTTGAACAGGATCTTCTGTACCACACCAAAGTTGTTTATGACCAGGTTTATCTAGCATATGATTACGAACAGCGGACAAGGAGATTTGCGCATTGTTTGATTTCTCTACACGACTACCATAGAATTGACGACCACAAAATAGACATGCACGCTCTTCTCCAACTATTCGTCCCAATTCAATCAATAATCCAGCAGGATCAGTTAATTTCTCGGGAAATGGGACAGTGAATTTGTGTGCATCAAACATGTGATTTAAAACACGTTTAGCTAATTCAATCTGTTGCGTTTTATCGAGTGATTCATTCGGCAGAGAATTCAGCGACACAATTCGATCGCAAAATAAACAGGATCCAAGTGGTAACGGCTGTGGAGGACTATTTTCTGCAGTGGACTCAGTTGTATCAGTAGCCGGATGTTCCCTGACACAAACAAAAAAGGGGTTACGCTCCATTTATGAATATATACAGTAAATGTACAACAACTCTCAATACATAATAAATTTAACTCTGATTTTTTTAAATTTACAAAATTCGGTTTTATTAGCAATGTCAGGTTTCAAAAATCGTAACAGCTAACTCAAGCAATCCTCACAATGCCACCTTCTACTAAGCATACTGTAACCGGAGTTGTGAAGGAATATTAACAGATGTCTATTAGCCGCATACAGATAATAATAATAATAATAGTAATGATAATAATGAATAATGATATATTAGGGATGATGAGCTAAGGTCCAACTAGAGAAGCATGGAAAATAATTACTACATAGCTATTCAGATTCAATTTTATGGAATTGTTAGCCAAAATAATCATAATAATAATACAAATTTCGCGAGATGATTTCGTCATTTCGTAGTTTCTTTACAACCGCTTTACAACTAACATGGTTAACAATAATAATAAAATAAAGATCATGACAATTACTCAGTTAAATAAAATACACAAAAATACATACTAATGACCAATCATATTTAGATAGGTCAAGTAGTCCAGGGTAGGCGAAGATTGAAGTCTATTGATTTTTGTATACACAGTTTAGGCTGTATGTGATTAATCCAAAGTGCTTCCATCACCTTCAATAACCTTGAATTAGAGTTATGTGATGAAATAATTGTGAAACAGTCATTAATATTGACTTTGTGACCTGACATTAATAAGTGTTTTGCAATGGATGATGCTGGATTTCTATTCAGATTACTGGCATTGGGATTTTCTATATGATTTAGTAACCATTTTGGAACATGTTCTTTCCGGCTTCGGTCAGCCATCAAACGCACATTCTACGCCGAATCTCTTTTTCTCACTTGCCGAACATTTTCGATCCCTGTACCTACGATTAAAGGACGAAATTCTGTGGACTCTACTTCAAACTGTATCTACAAGTTCACCTGCAGCTGCGGTGACACTTATATAGGTAGAACCAACATAATGTTCCAATGTCGTCGAAAGGAACATGTTCCAAAATGGTTACTAAATCATATAGAAAATCCCAATGCCAGTAATCTGAATGGAAATCCAGCATCATCCATTGCAAAACACTTATTAATGTCAGGTCACAAAGTCAATATTAATGACTGTTTCACAATTATTTCATCACATAACTCTAATTCAAGGTTATTGAAGGTGATGGAAGCACTTTGGATTAATCACATACAGCCTAAACTGTGTATACAAAAATCAATAGACTTCAATCTTCGCCTACCCTGGACTACTTGACCTATCTAAATATGATTGGTCATTAGTATGTACTTTTGTGTATTTTATTTAACTGAGTAATTGTCATGATCTTTATTTTATTATTATTGTGAACCATGTTAGTTGTAAAGCGGTTGTAAAGAAACTACGAAATGACGATATCATCTCGCGAAATTTGTCTTCTTAATGCCTTATTCAAATTTATCAAAGGAACTAATTGTTTTAACAATAATAATAGTAATAATAATAATAATAATAATAACCAACGGTTCTTTGAACGAATGCAATTTTATCTGTACGAATACGATTATTCAATTTTTATAGGACACTAAGAAAACATGACAGGCCCTGAAAATCCAACCTACTGGTATACGCTACAGACATGTGGTGTCTTGAAGGCTGACCACTATGTGCAGGTTTTGAAAGTAAAATCATCACTGAATTCTGCATATGTAGTGCATAATTAAGACTACTAAATGCGAGATAAGGCAAAGTTGAGCAGATTACAGATACAAAATTGATGAAGGGTAGAACATTGTTACAGTACACACAAACATCGGTCGGTTTTCGACATAGAACTTTGCACCGATGTGCGGCGGTTCAAGTCGCCACACTCCATGTAGCACACAAAGCAAGAGAAGAAAGTAGGAGAAATGCATAATATAGACAGTAAAAAGAGGTGTGAAACAAAGGAATAGTAATAACGAAGAACAAAATAGTTTCATTGGAAATCATGAGTCAGAAGGAGTGAATGCATCTGAGCCACTGACAACGATTTTGAGCCATGTCACCAATTGTTTCCAACCATTGGTTTTTACCGTCCCAACCAGGAAGTCTACACCTTCCTACGTGACCTAGACTAACTGTTGTAGATTTCATTGACTAGTGCCATGTTTTTGTTTGACCGCCGCTAGCTCTTTTCCAGCCTGGCCCTATATCAGCTAACATTGCCCGTCGAGGAAGGCGATGACTAGGCATACGTAGCACGTGTCCTAACCATCTCAGTCGATGTAATCTCAGTCCCGTCTATTGATTTCCCCGCCTTACCTAGCACTCGACGCCTAACCTGAATATTGCTCACCTTATCATACCACTTCACGCGGGAGATAGAACGCAGACACCTATGATCGAAGATAGCTAACCTTTTCATGTCCATAAAGGAGGACGGAGCGGACTGTTGAGCAGTACACACGCCCTTTGGTCGATAATCGGATATCACGTCTACGCCAGATACGGCGTAAACTGGCATATGCCAAACTAGACCTCTATATTCGTGCTGAGATTTCGTCAGAGATCAACCCGTTGGGGCTGATGGACAAACAAACATACTTCAGTTAGCTCTTTCTAGCAATTAATGACAACACCATAAAACGTGTCATTTCAAATGTCAACTGCGAACTATTTCATTGTCAAGTTACGATGAACTTCAAGTATCCAGCTACAAGTTCAGGTTACGATGGGTGACCTAAACCGATGAATGTGTGGATGAGTCGAAATCGCTTATCATTGAAAAAAAGACAGCATACATTGAGATTGTGGATAGAATTCCGGTTAGGCTGAATTTTAATTCCCAACATACTAAGGAATAGCTTTTTGCGGACTTATGATACACTTCTCAAGGGTGGATAGACTCCAGTCTTTTCCTTGAAATGCTCTTACACAGTCATAAGTTTAAAACCTCTTTTAGGTATGTCTTATCCAGTGATTTTAAGCAGCAGATGTTCTTACAAAAATAATCCAGCAAGTTAAAATGTCTGGAGTTTACCACAGCCAGCAGGGTTTATTTAGGTGTGATTCCAAAGCTATGTTCTTTCTCTGTCTCTAATAGTAACAAATGTATTAACCCCATTTGGTGGTTGGTACTCATGGGGATACAATGCCTGACGCTTGTTTGGTGCCTTGTGGATCATATCAAATCAAAGCCACTTAAGATAAGCCACCACCACCTTCGGTTTGCACATCCAAGTAGTGTCGGCCCATATACAACACGAAAATTACTGGCAAAAAATAACGCTAACAGCAACTATTGCATACTTGTTAGGATATTACTCGGAACTCGTATGTCCACCTATGAGCTGCAAGTATTGTGTGACGGCTACTGACACTACCCAAATACCCAGACTGAGGTGATGCAGGACTCGAACCAGGGACCCAGGCTGAAAATCGAGGGTACAAGCCAACGAGCCACACCTCCACACTGTTGTATACTGCCACAAAAGTGGTTGTGAAACAATCTCTACTTGTGTCTGACATTACAATTATGTGAATCGTAATAACGGCTGACTACAGAAAGCTGCGGTGGCGAGGTTCACACCCACCACCTATTAGTTAAACACCTGCAGTGAAACCCAGTGTTTAAAGTTTTGTTTTAATGTATACACAAATGGACAGATAAAGTATAATTATATTTCAGTAGTTTACACACAATGATAAGTTTTTGTTTTTTGGTAATATTTCGAGCAAGATTAGATTACTGTCCGTGATCACACCAACTGTTGGAGTGGTTTTGCTTTTAATTATTAGCAAAAAACAAAAACTCATCACTGTATGTAGACTACTGATATATAATTATACTTTATTTGATCTATTTCACAATGCTCAAACTTTCTACTGACATTAACAAATGGACAAGTTGGAACGCCACTTTTTGCGCTCTTCCATTGTCCTGTTGACACATATCCTCAGGATTTGTATTCCAGCCATACTAGATAGATAAGTTCTCAATTGTTTCCCTGAATAACCTTTGACTTTAGTACTATTCAAATATACTGCTCATCAGAGCTTATCACTTACTAACTGAGTCGTTTTGATTTACGTTTTGTTATCAATACTTACACGTAGGTAGAGTACTGATTTACTGGGTGTTTATGCAAACTGTGTGCATTAACAGCTGGTATAGTGTAGCTAACCAATAACACTACTAGTACCCCAAATATCCATTGTAGTCACAGATAATTATCAGAAAAGCTTGGTGGGTATTCCACTTGTTTAAACTAATCTAGACGCGATATTTAAGGCAGTTATACCAACTACTATATTCCCTTGTGGGTAAAATTTATTTTTATTTAGCCTCATAGTGTTATATAGTAATATTTATTGATGACTTTTCGAACACAATTTATTGCTGGTCATAATCATATCAAGTTGTTATACTCAAATTATACTCTACCACAGTGCACAAGTTCTATTCTTATATCAACCTCTATATTAATCCATCCAGAGAGGATAGAAAGAATAAATGCAAAGATGTGAATATCTTGCATCAAGTAACTTATGGGGAAAAAAATCCTCAAACAAGTAACCCACCGACGACTTTAAATCACCAAAAATAACGAGGCAGTGGAACTAGTTATATAACACTATATTCATTTTTTTAAAATGGTTTCGAAAGAAGTGTAAAAGTACTGAACAGGCTACTTGGTTAGTTTAGGGTTGAATAAGTTACCTGACTTCTCCCTCATATCACAATTGGAACTCGCATATCCTTCAGTTACACTTCTGTAAATAAAGACAATGTTGTTTCCCGATACTAAACTCACAACTTAATTAGTACCAATCATATCGTTGTCACAGATTCGTTACGAATTAAAAGCGAAGACCTATATGTATATGTCTATGATCAAGTTAAACTTTAAGCACCAGTTAGTACCAATGGAGTCCACAGTACCAGTAACCTTGAAATGCTCACTGAACAGGTTAGTGAAACCTGACAATTAATTTTGTCATCACGAATAAAATATACTTATTGAAGTGCTATGTCATTAAATGGGATATCTGCTAAGTTTCAGGTCAGGTTTGGAAAAGATTAAGTTAAGGTCTAAGCTAAGCAGAGGTTAAAATAACAAGGGCTACACTAGGGTTGGTTTGAGTTGGAATAGGTTTAGTCTAGGGATATTTTCACGTTAGGGTTAGGTTAAGGAAAGATTGGGGTTACTGTTAAGATTAGGAGACCTAGATAACTACTTGCATAGAATGTGGTTAAATTACTCTGTCGGTACTCAAATCCATAACTAATAGGTATTTTTGTCACACGTCAGAGAAAAGTACCCTGCGTAAGTTTCATGCCTTTTAATTCATAATTTTCGTGAACACATGTATTTTATACGCGGAAATTGCCTTTATCATGTGGTCGATGCATTCAAGGTCATTTATCCGTCGGCACTTACTAGTCCTTAGAGTTTAACTTTGCCATACTACATATAAAGCAGAGTTCCTCACGACTTGAAGTCAGCCTAAGTCAGTTATGAGCAGTTCTAATGCTACTGATAAACAAAACTTGCATTAAGGTTATGGTAACGATAGGCAATATATAATACTGAATTCACATAAACCTACCTCCGACAAAAGCTACTGTTGTGAAGATGTCGCTTTGATGTCAAGTGTGCATCAAAAGACTTGCTGTTTGAGAAGCACTTTTTGCAGGCACTGCAATAAGTTTCCTGCAAAAAAGGTTAATAAAGGAGGTACTACAAACCCTCTTAACTTCTGGTACTTCGGAATCGATCAGTTGTTTCTTATGCAAAAATATTTCTTGAGATATCGGTGGGAGACCAGATACCACGCGTTTTAGGTTATAGACATGCCAGTCACTTCTGACGTGGCTCACCTTTTCATCCACAGGAACATCCACCTTACATGTAGAACAGACGAACGTCATGCTTCCAGGTCACGTTTAAGCAGAGGCTAGGACGTTTGCCGATGACCTTGTCGGTAGCAAGTAAAAACAACTTGATACGCTCTGAATGGTTTCAAAGCCATAAGACATCATTTATGCTGGGAGACGGTTCATTGAGTTAATGAATCTGTGGAGAAATAGTACCTTACAGAGATATAGTTCTTCCTTGGCTTTTTAACTCTACTATTAAGTCGTCTGAAGTTTCCCACCCTGAAATAGAAAAGCCTTATCCGGTCAACAGTCATTTGTTGATATTTCGAATATAATGACTAGATCTCTTACTTGCCTACAGTATGATAGGGAGGTGACGGGTTTCTATAGAGTGTCGTACTTCGTACTTATAAATATTCAAGGCTGCTAGCTGTCAAGGTATGCCTTTGTAGTGTGCCTTATAGGACTTTAGTTACTATAACACGTCTCTGTCTGTCTGAGATTAAGAGGGTGGCATTCCCTCTATGAAGTATGCGATGCCACTTGCGCGTCATATGCGCATGGTTGAGCACTTCAGTACGTTGGTGGACAACATCCACTCTTTGGACCAATCTAACAAATTTTTTTGATTCGTTCTCAGTGTAAACACATCATTTTCGCCATCCAGCTCCTTTCAGACTCTCAGGTTGTCTGCCTGAGGAACTGTAATACATTTATTGAGCGCAAGTAATTGATAAATAAATGGAATGAATGAGAGGGCACCGACACATTAACTGTGGTACACCAATGCATACCACTGTCCAGGAAAAAAGTTAACAGTTGGTTCCGACTCTTTGTCTCCTGCCTGGGACAAGTCCCTTGATCCCAAGCTTTCCAGTTTCATGAGCAGTACTGTGTGGAGCTCTTTGTCGAAGGCTTTGTGAAAATCTATGAGAATTAAGTCGATAGGTTCCCTGTATCGCAGGGATAGACTCATCGTACGTTTGCTCTGAGGAAGTTTATCAATCGTGAGAGGTTTCCTTGAAACCCATGTTGTGCACCATACAAGTTTACTTTTCGCATACGCCTGGAGTGCTTTCTTCACTATTCCCTTAATTACCCAGCTCAAGAAGCTGATAGGACTAGTAGGTCTACAGCTAGAATCTCCTTCCTGAATGGAGTTATTATTGCACCCTTCTTGTCAGCCAACAGCAATGCATGCTGGGAACCTAGCAGCTGCGTGAGCTGCAACAACTTTGGTCATCCTTAAATGAAGGTCATCAGACCTCACTAGCTTCTCAGTATGACCCCTAGAGGATATGAATACGGTCGATAGCAACACAATCTATCCTGTTTACTTGCAGCAAGGCAGTAGACGATACAGTGGTTGGTGGCGGCTCCTGTGTGAAGATTTCGAAGATAAAGTTAGCCACTGATTCGACTTTTTCCCGGACCTTGTCTACCGTTTAAGTGTGGGTAATCAGGTTATAATCCTGCTGGTGAATGTTTGCAGTAGCTTCGTTTATAACTCGTGTAAGGCTTCTTGGTCTCCAAAATCCATTGAACGATAGACGCATCCTAGAACTTGTATATTCATTCAAGCAGTCCACGAGTATCTTGGTTTGTCCACAGAAAGGAGACAATATTTTCAGCCCTTAGGGACAGTCCATAAATTGTAGGATTCGGTTACTAGAACTCCATCTTCTGAGATAATAATCCTACTCTCTGGAGAAGCGGCTGAAATAATGACAGTCATATCATCTTTCTGCATGTTTGGTTAAACCGTGGTCTTGGCCCGGGATAGTACAGTAGCTGTTCACGGAGAATTCCATTTTTGCGTTGCCTGTTCCCGATATGGCCTTATTATAACCCATTAGGGCTATCATGTCGCCACTCTATATCGTATTCATTGTCCACAGTTGTCCTTAGGAGTTTAACTTCTCTTGGTCCTCGTTCTTCGCAGGTACATAGCGTCGGGTGTTTGCAGCTTTCCTGTATTTTCAGTTGAATCTAGATGCCGTGAGTTTTGAAGAGATTGTTTCTCGCTGGATAAGAGCCTTCAACGAAGTTCCTGCGTCAGCATATATTTCGTTGCCACTTGAGAAGTCTGAGTAGGTCACTGGTCATTTATTAATTTGCAGTGTCCACGCTTAGCCTATCCGCTCTGACTGATTCCTCATGTGGACATTCCTCGTCTTCACACATGCTTTTGCTTCCATCGAAGGAAGAAAAATCTCCCGAATGGCCTTCCAAAGACTTTCACCAACTGGTTTCATCTATCCTACTCAGTTTCGATGGTGAATTGATTTACTCTCCTCTACTTTCACGTTTCGGTGAAGTTGGTTTTCGCGGGAAGACTCCCTAGACACACACCCATTCAATTCTATTGTCTGGGCTCATGACCAGCTACTGTACTTGAGGTATTTGGAGAGTTACCCAACTCTTCTCTGCCGTCCTACGTACGGCGGCATACAAGTGTAACTGCATCACTTCTTTCAACAAAACGCCTAATTAGCTTCGCGCAATCACTCGGACACCATTTGCATCACCAAATATCGGATGTGAATTAGTGTTAGATCTTTCATGGGACGGACTAACACATTCGATACGAGCCTGCAGATCATTCTTTCAATTTCAACTCCTCTACGAAAGGGATTTGACTGTCTAAAAGCATCCTCAAATTTATTTTGCCCAACAAAAACTAAACTTATCCGCCGTCGCTCTTTTACGTCTGCCTATATCGAATCCTCACTTATATTTATCGACATCGCATCACACATCCTGAACCACTGCGTGATACCCATTGACCCTGTATTTGCTCACGAATGCCAGATAAGTTTCGCTTCAAGACTTTTGTGATGATTTGACTGCAGCGACTCACACCTGGGAAGCCCCCAGGTTGTGACGACATCAGGCCATCTGTTCTGAAACAGTGTGCCGAAGCTCTCTGTAGGCCCTTATGTGACTTGTTCCAACACTCAATGGAATCGGGGAAACTACCAACGGAGTGGAAAAGAGCCATCCTTTCTACGATCTTCAAGGGCGGGGATCGGCAAAATCCCACTAGTTATAGACCAGTAGCTCTACTCCCAGCGGTATCAAAAGTACTGGAAAGTATTATTGACGATCACATCAGGGAATATCTCGATAAGTCTAATACACTCCATGAAGCCCAACACGGTTTCGGGAAAGGCAGATTACCAACCTACTATCTGCTTGGGACGATTGGGCATCATGCTGGGATATGAATGTTCCAGTCCATGTGGTCTTCCTAGACTTTAAAAAGTCATTTGATACAGTCCGCCATGACCTTCTCCTACACAAAATAAGTCAGGTAGGTATAGGTAAGCCGCTTCCGTCATGGTTGAAGGACTACACAGCTGAAAGGAAATTTTGCACTAAGGTCAATCGAGTCCGATCATCTTGGCACAGCTCGTCATCAGTAGTGTCGCAGGGTTCTATCCTGGGACCACTGGTGTTTTTGATTTTCATCAGTGACCAATTAGCTGCTCGACTCTTCTGTACGCTGACGACGTACAGATATGGAGGGCAATAAAGTGTTCGGAAGACTCAGATAGGCTACAGGAAGATTTAAACCTTCTGATAGACGGTGCGGTGGACAGTGGCATGACTTTCAACCTGAGAAATGCGAAGTAGTGAAGTTACGCACCTGTAGATTGCAGAATGCAAGTTACACCCTGTGCAATGAAAGCTTGTCCTGCACAACGTCGGAACGCGACTTAGGTCTAGTTCTAACGGAAAAAATGGATACAAGCGTAAATTACACGGGGTATGTAGCGAGGGCATATGTGGTCATACACTTTACACATAGACAGTTAGGTGCATTCACTCCTGAGCTCTTTCTAAGGTCGTATAAAACATACATCAGACCATCCCCTCAAGTGCATAATATTATTGCACCCCCACTGCTTAAAAGAGACGCCGACCTCTTGGAAAGAGTCCGACGACGGGCAACAAAAGGAGTGGTTGGTCTCCGAAATAAACCATATGATGAAAGGCTGAAGAAATTAGGCCCACTCACACTTAGCTATCGTCGTCTTAGGGGGGATTTAATTACTGTCCACAAAATAACAAATGATTAGAATCACCCAAACAAAGGTGTTCTGCCATTGAGTAGGTATATGCTCCCTCGTAGAAATCCCAGAAGGATAGATTACCAGAGGGCAAGAACCCAGGTGAGCTCCCACTTCTTTTCCCTGCGGGTTTGTCGTCCCTGGAATTTCTTACCGGCAGATGTAGCTATGGCACCGTCTGTGGACGCCTTTACGCGAAGGCTGGACAACAATGCAGCGACACAAGGACTGCATCCAAATGGCCTATCCCCTTAAAATCACATACACTTTTCAGGGATTTGACAAGTAAATTCATCGTTTAACTTCTTACATTCTCTGCCGTCTTACTCTCCTGACAACTTTAACTATGCCTATTATTATTATTATCATTATTGTCACAGCATGGTTGCTCCGTACGAGTAAGTTGATAAACGCGTAGAAAGCTATATAAAAACCATTTTAGATCGTTGACAGTGCTTGTATAAGATGCTGTACAGCGTCTTGTTATGGTGACAGTGGATTTCATCAAGGATGCTGAGCCATTACTAGCCAAACCTTGAGGGATGATATATGAGTAAGTGACTTCAATTGTTTCTCAGCTTCAGTCGGAATGTAGATCAATGCAACTTGTACTACAAAGTAAATACAACAGAAATGTACCAGAGGACAAAGAAAAAGCAGGTGGAGTGTAAAAGATTTGATTATATTCGTTGTACATTGTAATTTGATGAACAAAAATTTGTTTCTACTATGTCTTTTTATGCATTTGTGCTACTAGTTTATTTATAGTCTTTAGGGAAGTAAGGGTATTTATGCGCGTTTAGGTACTGTAGTAGACTGATAGTTGATTCGTTCTAGGGATAAATAGTTTATTTATATAGTCGGTAGAGTGAAATAGTCTTTTTATGCATTTATGCTACTAGTTTATCTATAGTCTTTAGGGAAGTAAGGGTATTTAAGCGCGTTTAGGTACTGTAGTAGACTAATAGTTGATTCGTTCTAGGAATAAATAGTTTATTTATATAGTCGGTAGAGTGAAATAATG